AGAACGAGGACAGACGGAGAGAGGGAACGAGAGAGAGAGAGAGGGCGATCGATCGATCGAGAGAGAGAGAGAGAGAACGACAGAGAGAGAGATAGAGAGATAAAGCGCACGAGAACGCGTAGAATGGAGAACGGGGTAGGGAGTGGAGAAACTGACAGAGTCAAACAAGTAGAGTGTGTTGTAACGTAGAGTGCCTGACATTGTTTTGGAGCGTAGACCTGGCTCCTGATAGAGTAGGGTAAAGCAACGTAGATGGGTATACTAGAAAACTAAAGCAGAGCGGCATGGAACATAGAGCAGGGTAGTACTAGAGTCGAATAGGGACGGAACACTATTCACTACAGGGAGGGCTAGAGTAGGGCAGATGGCAGCGAAGGGTAGGGTAGGCGGTCGAATCTAATCGGGTAGATATAATCGTGCTGGGTATGATGCAATATATTGTAATAGGGTCGAGCACAGGTTCGAATCCCAGAGTAGAGTAGGAGTAGACTAGAAGTAGAGGTAGAGTATGATATAGTTCGGGTCGAATGTACAAACTTGTATAGAGCAGGCTAGGGTCGGTGGGGTAGAGAAGGGTAGAGTAGAGCAGAGAAGCAGAGTAGTGCAGAGCAAAGTAGGGTAGATGGTACAACGACGTATGGTATACTAGAGTAGAGCGGAGTAGAGCGCAGCAGAGTATAAAAGGGCTGGGCATATTAGAGTTGAAGGGGGTATCACAGAGTAGACTAATAGTGGTGTCGAGAAGGAGTAGACTAGTAGCATAATAAGGCCAAAGCATAGCCGACTAGAGAGGGAGTGGAGTAGAGTAGGCTAGAGTTGCTGGTAAGCTAGAGCATGGCAGATTGTCGAGTATACTCTGGCAGGTAGAACATAGGCTTGGGTGGAAGAGGGTATAATCCAGTAGAGTGGAGTAGAGGATATCACACCAGACCAAACAACATTGAATTATAATATGGATCTGCGTAGAGTCAGATCGAGCAGGCCAACCCATATCAAAGTTGAGTAGGGTCAAGTAGAATCGGGCTGATTACAATAGAGCAACATAGTGTGGAGCATATTCGCGTAGATTACAAGGCAGCGTGGGCATACAATAGTAGAGTAGAGTAGAACGGAACACACTAGAGCAATGTTGATCATATTAGAACAGAACAAGTGTAGAGAAGAATATCAGGTTCGGGTAGGGGGGTGGAATGAGGTAGGGTAGAGCCGAGCAGGGCAGAATCTAGTAGAGCGGGGGCGATGGTAGAGTAGAGCCCGGTAGACTCGAAGAGAGCGGAATTGATTAGTGTGGAGTAGAGCCCACTCCAGTCCAGTCCAGTATACTCGAGTCCAGTCTGCTTCAGTCCACTGCAGTCAATTTCGCTTCAGTCTTCTGAAATGTTTGGGGTCTTCGCTGGCTGGAACTTGGGATTTTGGAGCCAAAAACAAAATATCCAAGGCCCCCATCCAGAGTCTCGGATAATTGGAATCCACATGGAATCCGATCTGAATCCAATTGTAATCCCCTGGGCTTGAACTGCAATCAGCATCCACTGGGATCCGATCGATTCTAAATGGAACCTGGTTGGGATCCAATTGAGATTGGCTTGGATGCCTTCCGCCCGAGAAGTCCCCCAAACACACCAACTGGGAGGAAGTTTCCGCCTGAGCGGTTCACAAACAACTATCCTGGCGAAAGACCCAACCATATGCAATTGCGAATACCGTCGTTGTGAGTCTAGTCTTCGGCGAAGCTCCGTGTGGAGCTCCCTACGGGGCCACGAAACGTGTGGAGCATGCCGGGGTGGAACCGCATGCGACCCCTGCCACGGGTGCCTTCGATGCAGATCCCTATGGGGCCACGAAGCGCGTGAAGGATGTACCGAAATGGAGGTGGAACCGCACGCGAGCCCTGCCACTGGGGCCTTCGGTGGAGCTCCCTATGGGGCCACGAGGCGCGTGAGGGGTGTGCCGAAATTGGGGGCGGAACTGCATGCGAACCCTGCCACTGGGGCCGTCGTCGTAGCTCTTTATGGGGCCACGGAACGTGTGAGGGGTGTACCGAACTGCGGGTGGAGCCGCATGTAAACCCTGCCACTGGAACCTTCGGTGGAGCTCCCTCTGAGGCCACGAACCGTTTGAAGGGGTGTGCCGAAATGAGTGGCGCAGGCGCATGCGGGCGGTGCTACTGGGGCCTTCGGTGGAGCTCGCCAGGGAATTGGTGGGCATACGGAGGGCAGAGGCACGGGTTGGAGGAGGGAGGAGCGGGAGGACGGGGAAGAGGAGAGAATGTGAGAGAAACGCGGAGCGTTGTAAAAACACTGACCCCACATCACAGGATGGTAGGGAAAACACCCAAACAAGAGGAGGCTCCCGCCTGAGAGGTTCCAACACAACCCAAACATGATGAGGCTCCCGCCCGAGAAGGATGTCTCCCAAAAGCCTTGCGATACCCAAACACCATGTCGCTCATCATTGTAACCGTCATCGCACACACACACAAACAAAGAAACAACATTAGACTGGCGGAAGACCCAACAATCTGCAATTGTGAACACCGTCGGTGTATGCACAGCATTCGGTGGAGCTGCCTATGGGGCTACCAAGCGTGTGAGGGTGTGCCAACCAGGGTGCGGTGAGCGCAAGGGGTGTGCCAAAATGGGTGCGGTGGCCGCGTGCGAACGCTGGCATTTGGGCCTTCGGTCGGGCTCCCTGATTGGTGTTGCGGAGCGCATGCGAACGCTGGCATTTGGGCCTTCGGTAGTGCCCCCTATCTGGCCACGAAGCGTGTGCGGGGGGAATACCGACATGGGTGCGGTGGGCGCATGCGAACGTTGGCGTTTGGGCCTTCGGTGGGGCTCCATATGGGGCCACGAAGCGTGTGAGGGTGTGCCAAACATGAACGCGGTGGCCGATTGCGAACGCTGGCATTTGGGCCTTCGGTGGGGCTCCCTGCGGGGCCACGAAATGTGCAAGGGGTGTTCCACATTGAGTGCGGTGACCGATGCGAACGCTTGCATCTGGGCCTTCAATAACGACCCCTATCGGGCCACGAAGCGTGTGAAGGGTGTGCCACGGTGGGTGCGATGGCCGCATGCGAATGCTGGCATTTGGGCCTTCGGTGGGGCTACCTGTGGGGCCACGAAGCGTGTGAAGGGTGTGCCGAAATGGGTGCGGTGGCCGCATGCGAACGCTGGCATTTGGGCCTTCAGTGGAGCTCCTTATGAGGCCACGAAACGTGTGAGGGGTGTGCCAAAATGGGTAATGATGGTGACGAGAAGAGGAGGGAGGGGGCAACGGGAGGATGAGGAGTGATCGCGGGGACCGTCTCTTCAAAAGGAGGACCCAACACCACAGGATGGTTGGAAACAAAGGAATCAAAGTTCCCGAAGAGACAGCAACCCTTCTCAACGCACCTGGGACAGCTGTGCGCGCTCTCCTCTGGAGCTTAGTTGCTTGTTGGTTTCTTGTGACGGTTTTGAGGACGAGAGGCATGGCGCTTGGGTGCCTTTGGGTTTTGTCGGGGCCTGTCAAGCTGGACATCTTGAAATAGTGCATACAAATCCCAGGCTTCCCCATATTTCCCATATTGCCTTGATGATCGTCTCCCCCTCCACATCCTATACTTGAATATATATTTCCAAGGAATCAGCGATTATTTGTATGTGTGTGTGTGCGGGTGAGGTCGCGCCCTCTTTCTCTTTCGCCGCGCCTTCTTTCGGCCGCGCCCTCCTCCTGCTCCCCTGTTGCATGGTGGCACAATTCGTCATAACGGCACCCCCACTTAATTAGGCTTTTCCGCTAGCGCAGACTTCCCCTGCCTCGCCGCCGAAGCACAAGTGTGTGCGGGTTTGCGTGAGTGTGTGTGTGTGTGTGTGTGTGCGTGTGCGTGTGCGTGTGCGGGTGCGTGTGCGGGTGCGTGTGCGGGTGCGTGTGCGGGTGCGTGTGCGTGTGCGTGTGCGTGTGCGCGTGCGCGTGCGCGTGCGCGTGCGTGTGCGCGTGTGTGTGTGTGTGTGTGTGAATGTGTCTATGTCTGTGTGTGAATGTGTCTGTGTCTGTGTGCGTGTGCGTGTGCGAGTGCGTGTGCGCGTGCGTGTGCGCGTGTGTGTGTGTGCGTGTGTGTGTGTGAATGTGTGTGTGTGTCTGTGTGTCTGCGTGTCTGTGCCCTCCCGAACATCGGGTCGGATCGGAGCATGCGTCGGCCCCAAGCCCTTTCGTGTTATGGAACAAATCCCGACGGAGGGTCCTCGCTATTTCCAGCCTCTTGGGGCCCTTTCACCGGGTCTCGTAGGGAGGCACCAACTATACACCAACACCGATCCTGGCCAGGATCAACCTGGGCTCAGGATCGGTGTATATGCCCTCCTGCCATGGGCAGAATGCATATACACCGATCCTGGGCCTAGGATCGGCCTGGGCTGGATCGGTGTAGGTGTATAGTTGGTGCCCTCCGATCTCGAGACCGCCAAACAGCTACTCAGGATAAAACCCTGGTCACAGGGTATGGGTCGAGGCCTCCGGGGGTCGACGGTATTGAAGGGGCCCTGGGACACACACACACACACACACACACACACACACACACACACACACACACACAAAAAAAAAAAATACACACAAATAACGGGATTCCCCATATTGTCCCATATTTTCTGGGTTCTTGTCTTCCCCCCCACTTCCCATATTTTCCCATACTTTCCTGGGGATCGACGATCAAGTGTGTCTGTGTGTTTCTTCCCCTCCTGAGTTATGAAGAAATCATGACGTCGGGGGCCTGGGGCTCGGGCTGCATACCGGCACGGGGTCGGCTCGAGTCAGCTGGGACGCGCCGGGATGCACAAGCAGCGCCGTGCGAACCTCGGGCGGCATGGGATCGTCGACACATATCCGGAGTCGGATCGGGTCGACCCAGCCGGCATCGAAATTGGCCCCGAATCCTCGTCCAGCACGCGCGCGCAGGTTCGGTTTGGAGCCCGCCTCGCCGCAAGGCACGTGGGGCCCGCTGGGCGCGTCGAGACGGCTCACCACCGGGAGGCCAACCAGGCGGCGATGGCCTCCTCGTCGCCGGGCGCGCCGCCGTACCTGGAGGGAAAGGAAACGAGAACCGCGTCCAAGACTGAGCATGGAAACGTGGGTGCAAGTCTTGGGTCATCGTCAATTCGTGGATCATCCTCGCGAACAGGCGATGGCCGGCATGGACCATGAGCAAGGCCGGCGTCGGCAAGATCCCGCGCATGTTTGGTCATTGGTTGCGGGGGGGGAACGGCCCCTCACCAAACAAATAGGACTGCCCATTCTGGACACAACGATGAGGTGTCATGCATCTCCGTTGCTACAATTCGGGAGCGGCCAAGAGGGGGGTGTCCAAGAGGGGGGGGTACAACTCATGACCAGCGGCATGTGCGCGGCCCAGCGGGGGGGCCAGGGACGTGATGAAATAAGAAGAGGCGCCATGAGACCTGGGGAAATATCATGGCCCCCGCCATGACATCCACCCCCCCCTAGTCATCACCCCCCTCTTTTCCGCCCCCGAACAATGTTAATGCTGACCCGGGTCTACATCACAGAGCGGGACGGGGGCTGGGAGGGGCGTGCAGCTCACTGACGGAAGCCGTGCCCCAGCTTGTGGGGTGGCCGCCGCGATCGCCGCGACGACCTCCAAAACCGACGGGGAGGCTTGGTTCGGGGCTGAGTATCACGCAGCGAACACCTTGCCGTCGCTCGGACGTCTATTTCCCGTGCATTTGTCGGTTTCGTGTGTGTGTGTTTTTTGCTCGATAGTCCAGAATGGTCCTCGATGGTCCTCGCCGAGAAGAAATGCACACGTCCGAGCGATGCCAGGACACTGGCCAGCGTGCTTCTCCCCGCGGTGCACCCGTAGAGCGTGGGGCCGCCGCCCCGCGGCGCGGCGAACAGCCTGGCCAGCACGCGCGCGCCGGTGCGCTCGTCGAGCAGGGCGCGCAGGCGGGAGAGCAGGGCGGGCCCGAGGTCGTCCTCTCGGAGGGCACGAAAATCCAGACATCCAACGTCTTGAGAGACTAAAGAAGAAGAAGAAGAAGAAGAAGAAGAAGAAGAATAAGAAGAAGCAAGCAAAAACGCACAGACATAAACTCTTGTGGCGCTCCCAGAGGGCAGGAAATCCCAGACGTCCAACGTCTCGAGAGACTAAAGAAGAAGAAGAAGAAGAAACAAACAAAAACACATAGACATAAACTTGTGGCGCTCCGCCCGGATTTCTTGGATCCGGACCTGGGCCCCCCGGCGGCGCCTCCGGCGCCGCCCCTGGCGCGCGCCGTGCGCCAGGGAGGGGGGTCCAGCGCAAATCCAAGAAGTCCGCACGGAGCGCCGAAAGTTTTTGTTCATGTGGTTGTTTCTTCTTCCAGAGAATTGGGCGCCCGAGTCATCCGGGGTAACTCGGGCCCGGGGTAACGCGGGTTTGGATTCCCGGAAAATGAACCCGAGTTAGCCCTGACCCGAGTTACCCCCGATGCTTTGGGGCTCTGGACGCCCGAGTTATCCGGGGTAACTCGGGCCCGGGGTAACTCGGGTTGGGAATCCCGAAAAGCGAACCCGAGTTAGCCCTGACCCGAGTTACCCCTGATGGTTCGGGGCTCCGAGAGAATCCAGACGGAGGTGTTTCGCAGTGCTCGGCCTCTGGGTGCCCTCGTCGGGCCTCGGGACTGTCAGCAGACAGCTCCGGACGAAAAGACGCTCCGGGTCTTCAGGGGGCCCCCCGTGATGCCAAGGCCGAAACCTCGGGTGCCCGGGGGCACGGCGTCATTACGGCAGGTCCGTGCCGTGACGACCCACGCGCTGGTTTGTGACACCGCCGCGTGGATCGCCAAAGCTTGAACGATCGGCGGCCTCTCGACCTGGAGGAACCAGAGGCGACGCAAGCGTAAACTGCTGGAGGTGCGCGGGGTCCTGCCTCCCCGGCGCGCGGCCCGCGCCGATACGGGGGCCCAGCGCCGATCCAACAGGCCCGCGCGGACCTCCAAAAGCTGTTTGCGCTGTCTTGTCTTCTGCGGCGACCGCAAGATCGCTCCGCGTTCGCAGATTGCTGGCCACTGGCAGCGTTCAGCCTTGCCCGCGGTGGGGTCGCCACCGCGTCGGCACGACGCGAACCTATCGTAGACACATTCTTCCAGAGGCCCGCGCGGATGCCCCCCAGACCCTCTCCTATGTGATTCGTCCAATCCGCGGCCACCCCAGAGCTCCCGAGTGCTTCCCCCTGGGCGGTTTTGCGTCCTGGGTCCTTGTGGGCCCCGGGCACCGGCATGCAGGGGCAACTCCGCGGTCGAAAAAGCGCAAATCGTCTCGGAACTCTGGGTCCTTCTGTCGGCGCTGGGCCCCGCATCGGGGGCGCTGGCGGAGCGGCCTGTCGATGCGCACGATGCTGAGGATACCGGGGTTGACGTTTTGGGGGGGCGAGCCGGTGCGGGCCAGAGGGGGGGCCCTGGGGCGGCGCCTCCCGTGGGGAGGTCCCGTGCCGACCCGAGGGCCTGCGAAAGTGTAAGTCAGGACGTCTTTGAGCTAGAGTAAGTGTTGGCGGCGGGCGAGAAGGGAGAAGTGAGAAGGAAAAGGCCCTCTCAGAAGGCAGCGGGGCTTCTCGGAAACCCCCTCGCGCCTTCCGAAGTGTTCCCTGCCTTCGGGGGAAGCTCAGAAATCTTCTCAGAAGGCCGGGGGACTCCCGAGCCTTCTGAGAAGGCCCGCCCCCTTCCCACCTTCCCCCCTCGCTCACCGCCGAAGGAGGAGGAGGAGGAGGAGGAGGAGGAGGAGGAGGAGGAGGAGGAGGAGGAGGAGGAAGGCGTCCCCTGTACTGCCACCGCGGGCCCCAAGGGTGCACGTGGCTCCACCTCTTCTGTGCTGCTCGCCCGCTGCTGGCCCGTCCACGAGCGCCCCAGCGGCGTGGAGGAGGCCCCCCTGGGACCTCGCAGAGCTCCCTCCCAGCTCCAGGCCCACCCCCCTCGTTCCCAGACGCGCGATGTCCTGACATCTTCCATAATTACGGGGTCCCCCAAAAATAGGGGGACAACAAAAGTTACATAAACATAAGGAACTCGGAGGTCCGCGCGGATGTCTCGGATCGGCGCTGGACCCCCCTCCCTGGCGCGCGGAGCGCGCCAGGGGCGGCGCCGGAGGCGCCGCCGGGGGGCCCCAGCGCCGATCCGAGAAATCCGCGCGGACCTCCGAGTTCTTATGTTTATGCCACTTTTTTTGTTCCCCTGTGATATCTTCCGTACGGGGTCCCCGAAAGAGTCCTGGCCCCTTCCCCAAAGGCCGGCTCTTCGCCCCGAGCCGTTCTTGTGACGGGGCCCCAGGACACACAACTAAGTACACACAATTGAAAAAAGATGCCCCATATTTTTTCGGGGTTTCTGTCTTCCCCCCCACCTCCCATAGTTTCCCATCTTTTTTCTGGGGCATCGACGATTCAGTGTGTCTGTGTGTTCTTGCTCCCTCCCCAAGGGCTGGCTCCGCACCCCGAGTCGCGTTCCTGGGCCGCCACCCGGGGGCCCGGCGAGGGGGCGCCTAGACATTCACGGCGGACAGGTCCACGCGAACAAATGCACAGATGGGGAGCTCCACGCAGTGAATAATGTTTATGTCTTTAACCCCAGGAAGCATTTAAGAACCCCCCCCCCCTCCGGCAAATCGATAACCCTTCCGCACCCTGGAAGCGTTACCTGGCACCAGGAGCCCTCCTTTGTGTCCGGGTGCTACAGGTATCGTTCGGTTATTTCGGCCCCTCGGAATATCGCATAAAAAATGCGGTGCTACGATATCGCCGGGGGGGTTCTTAAATGCTTCCTGGGGTTATTTGTTCTCCTATGATATCTTCCATGCGGGGTCCCCAGAAGAGTCCCGGCCCCTTCCCCAAAGGCCGGCCCTTCACCCCGAGGCGTTCTTGCGAAGGGGCCCCAGGACACACAACTAAGCACACACAAGTGAAGAAAGATTCCACCTATTCTCCCATACTTTCGGGGGTTCGGTCTCCCCCCCCCACTTCCCACAGCTTTCCCATATTTTTTCTGGGGCATCGACGATTCATTGTGTCTGTGTCTTCTTCCCTCCCCAAGGGCCCGCCCTTCGCCCCGAGTTGTGTTCCTGGGCCGCCGCGCGGGTCCCGGCGAGGGGGCGCCCCGCCGGAGGCCGAACCCGGCCGGGCCACGAGCTTCCCGCCGCGCAGCTCCAGCTTCGGGCGTCGCTTTGAGTCGGACCTGTCCCCCTGCAGGGGGCTTGTCGACGAAAAATGAAACATACCCCAGCAATGCCCCAAAATCAACCAAAAAATGCTCCAAAGATAATCCCCAGACTATTTTTGGAGCATGTTCTCCTTATATTTGGGGGGTATGTTTCATTTTTCGCCGAAAATCCCCCTGTATGGGGGACACGCCCGACATACACGTCGCTCTGGTCGCCCTCTGGTGGCCTCTGTCGTGGCGCTCTTTTGGCTCGCCCTCGGTCCTCTATCGTGGCGTGGTCGTTCCTCGTCTCGTGCAGCACTGCCCGCGGCGAGCCCGGCAGGGCCACCCCGAGGCGGCGCCACACGAACTCGGGCACGTCTGGGAGGTCGCCCTGGCCCGGAGCCACGGTGTAGGACATGGGCACCACGAGGGCAGAAGAACCAAACAGCAGCTGACCCCGAGATCCCGGCGTCGCATTTTTTTGGTTGACTTGGGCGTTCTCGACTTCTTCTTCTTCTTCTTCTTCCTCTTCCTCTGGCCCCAGGACCCCCTTTTTTCAGATCGATGCGACCCAACAAAAAATGAAGCAGAAAGGTGGGATCAACGCGATCTTGTATGTTGCTTCATTTTGTTTCGCAACGTCGGATCTCGGGAAAATGAGCCCAGACTTTCGACAGCGTGTTTCTGCAACCCTGCAGCTTTTCCTCGGTGTCGGCCCCTGGGGGGCCCGCTAGCAGCCCCGGGGCCATCAAACGTGGGTCCAGGAGGAACCACCACCCCCGGGGGAAGAGGGCGGGACCTCTGAGACCACGTATTGAAAGATCATCCGCGGAGGGCGTTGGATACGGAGCCATTGGATGAGGAACCCACGTGCTGGAAGCCGGTGGAAATCCCGTTGCGGATTGGCCATGGATATCACCACCACCCTTATCAGATGACAGATCAGGCACCCTCCATGGTCTGAAACCACCTGGGCACACACATTCCTCATTCAACGCCCCCACCGTGTCGTAGATGTCTGGGAACATATACCAGAGAAATACCCAATCAGTGGATAGTTTGATGAGATCGATGGTGAGATCGATTCAATGAGATGAACAATGAGATCGATCATGGGATCGTGGGATCGATCAAGAGATCCTTAAGGAGATCGACCGGGAACCCGGGAACCCAGAACCCATCGAAATCGGCCCGGAACCAATAAACATGCAGGAACCCGGGCACCCAAAACCGGGAACCTGGGAACCCAGCCGGCCACCAAAATCGGCGGGACGCTTTCGCCAGATCTTTCCAATATCCGCTATAGGACCCCTAGTGCAAGCCGGATTGCGGAATCACACTTTGAGGGTCCGCGCAGATGTTTCGTGCCGGCGCTGGACCTCCCCCTCTGGCGCACTTCGCGCGGCAGGGGGAAGAAGGGAGCCGCAGCGCTGGCCCAAGGAATTCGCGAGGGGCTCCGAAAGATTTTGGTTTGCTGCTTTTGGTTCTTCGAGATGAGCTGCTGCGGCGAGAACGCCTCGAGGTATATATGTATATATGTATACACGCACATCTAGATGTTCTGACCGTCGCTGTATAAAAGGCAGGTTCCCGAGCGGGCCCTCTTCGGGGTCTCTCGAGGCTGTTTTCAGGCCGTCTTGGGGGCCTCCTGCGCCGTCTTGGGCCCCTCTGAGGACATCTTGGCCCCTCAGGGCACTCTTGGTACATACACGTCTCAGGTTCTTCGCGGCACAACGATTTGGGGCCCCTGCAGGGCCCCAGGTCTGGCCGAATCGGAGCGTTGCCCAGAAGCGCCGACCGCAGCGCCCCCAGCATGGTGGGGAGCGGCCGACATGTCGGCCAGCGCCCACGCGCTTACTCTTGGGGGGCCTGGAGCCTGGCACCAACAGCATCGAAGGGACTGCCACCACAAGGGAAAGACCACCCTGGACTCGGTGCTGGTGATAATCGCTTGGCCACCTAAGAAGCCCGAATCTGACCACCATCGCCGAGATCAGGAGCATCTTCCCTCGGTGGAGGCAACCGCCGGTACTGGTTTAGGTGGGCGGTGCCACCTTCTGGGCCTCCGATGTTCGCAGCCCAGACATGCGATGCCATGATCTGTTCAGCACGGGGTCCCTAAGAACACCGACCCTTTCCCCGAGGCCGGTTTCTCATTGCGGGCCGTGTTGTTGACGGTCCCGGGGCCCGGTGAAGGCCCCCAGAGGCTGACAACGGCCAAAACCATGCCGCCGTGGATTTCTATACGACGTGGTCTCATGTTTTGGGACGAGTGTACAGTCGTGATCTCATGTTTTTATGTTTTTTGTATCTCGTGATCTCGTGCTTTCATGTTATGATATCTCGTGATCCCATGTTATGCATCTCGTGACCTCATGTTATTTTTTCTCGAGTATCTCGTGATCCCATGTTTTTTTTATCTCGTGATCTCGTGTCTTGGAACGCCTCGAGGTAGGGAGCCAGCTGCTCCGCGTACATGGTCCTGTTGAGGTTCATGTCGCAGTTCTCCATCCAGGCGTGCGAGGGGGGCCGCCTCGTGGCGCTGCTCTCCAGCGCCCTCCTCGCGCAGTCGGCGAACTGCGCCGTGTTGGCCCTGTCGTTGACCCTCCTCCAGGGGCGAGCGGCGCCAGGCGTGGGCACGTGCACGCCGGGTGCCGCTATCGACTGCCCTGGAATCCGTGCCAGTCAGAATCCGCATGGCCACTGCAGTCCTCGTGCTGCCCTCAGAAGCTCCGAAGCAGGAGCGAAGGGGCTTTTCTGGCCACGGCGAGCCTCGGACACGAATGGTTCTCCCGACCAGAAGCGAAGATGCGGCCCGAAAAGACAGAGCCCCTCCTGAGCCCAAAGTGGTCCTGAATGCAGCGTCTTGTCTTAACCTGTATCCCCGCGACCACCTGAGAATATCCGGATAGGGGGCACCGAAACGTACCGATGCTAGTGATGCTAGTACCGCTTCTTCATGGACCTCTCCGGGGGTGCGTTCTGACCAGAACCTCGATCAGAATCCAGCCGTGGCGACGGGGGATCTCCAGGACGAGCAGCGGGACTGTTAGTTGCAGTGTGAGCGCGGCCGCAAGAAACCCTCGCAAGAAACCCAACCCTGAAAACCTGCGCGCGAAGTGCACCGGAGGGGAAACCTGGAATACTCTGAACGCAGCAGCTCCTTCAACGGCCACGGGAAGCCTCCGCGCAGCGCGCGGAGCGCAGAAACCCAGGATACCCTGACGAAAAGCATACGGTTTCTTGATGCGCGCCCCCACTGTACCCCGTCCTTCCCTGACAAGAACGCTTACCACCTTTCCCAGATGGATGCGGGCGCGGTTGGAGAAACTTCGGCTATCAGCCCCGCCCCTTTCGGGTCGCCAGGGCCGGCGCTCCGGCCAGCGCTCAGGTGCTCAAAGAAGTAGGTGATGGGCAAATTTCCACCACCACCGCCATAGGTAGGAGGGGGAGGGGGTCCACCACCTCCTCCTCCTCCTCCTCCTCCTCCCTCCAACTCCTCCTCCTCCTCCTCTCTCCTCCTCCCTCCTCCTCCTCCTCCTCCTCCTCCTCCTCCTCCTCCTCCCTCCTCCTGCTTCTCCTCCTCCTCCTCCTCCTCCTCCTCCGCCTCCTCCTCCTCCTCCTCCTCCTCCTCCTCCTCCTCCTCCTCCTCCTCCTCCTCCTCCTCCTCCCCCCTCCAACTTGTGGTGGTGGTGGTGGAGAACAGGCGCCCATCAGTAGGGGGCGACGGAATGTATCACATACTCTGTCCCGCCACCTGGGCCACCTGCCCTGGGGCGGCTGGAAAGCTTCTACCCCAACGGTGGCGGGTGGTGGCGTAAGCCTCCCGGCCGCCCTGGGCCGGGCGGCCCCGACGGCGCGGAGCAGTCTGCCTGCTACCGCTCTTCCCCCCGCGGCACGGCTTGACCTGTGGGGCGGAAGAACACCTCTCAAGAGCATGAGACCCTCCGCCGCCCAAACGGAAGAACACTCGGGGGGTACCCTCCCCCAGGATGCGCAAGAGCATCCAGCGAGCACGAAGAACATGAGGGTAAACCAACCTCGAGCTCATACCTCGGTCCGGCTGTAGGCGAGTGGGGGTGGGGGGGGGGGAACAACACTCTCGACGCGCTCCGCGCCTCCGCCGGCGTCTCTCCCGGCCTGCCGCCGCCGAGGCAGGCGCGCTTCTGGCCCCAAGGCTCTGGCCTTCGGCAGAGGGGGGAGGGGCAAGAAGCGCAGACACAGTCGCGTTGCAAAGCGATCCGGATGGGAGGCTTTTGGTTGTGCTCAGCCTCTGAGGGCCCTCGGCGGGCCCCAGGACCGTCCAAAAGCGACTCGCGATAAAAAACCGACCCCTGGGGAAAGTGTCAAGACTTTGGCCCATTGGGGGACCCCGTATGGAAAACATCAAGACACCGCGCAACTGGGAACGAGGGGTGGGTCTGGAGCTGGGAGGGAGCTCTGCGTGGTCCCGGGGGGCCTCCTCCACGCCGCTCGGGTATTCGTTGACGAGCCAACAGTGAGCGAGGAGTGCACAAGAAGTGAAGCCACGTGCACCTTTGGGGCCCGTGGTGGCAGCTTTCAGGGGACACCCTCCCGCAATCCTCGATCCTTCCACGTTTGTTGCCTCCCCGTTGGCGTCCGCTCGAAGGGCGCCGACCACCGCGTCCCGAGCCCCGTCACTCCCAGCCGGCTTTTCGAGCCGCGCCCGGCCGCGGCGACGAGCGCCTCGAGAGAGAGGCCCGCTGACGCCCGAGAACCGAAGACTCTGGCCAGCATTTCTGCCCGCGCCCACATCCACAGATCCTGACCCTTTGGCTCCTCCAGAATTGGAACGACGACTGGAAACGCCTGACTGGGTCCCGCAGCTGAACCAGGAGCGTCAGCCGCGGCGCGCTAGGTCCGTACCAGTCGATAATGCGCTGCGTCGTGCCAGGAGTGTACAGATACTGGGGCGAGCAGTCCACTGCCACGCGCCGGGGGGCCTGGGTGCATTCGGGAAAAAACCTGAGGCCGAACCTCTGGAACTTCTTCGGATTGGAAAACAGCTGCGCCTCCTTCTTGACGCGCCGCTTCCCGTCCTCGACACGGCGCGCCCGAAGAGCTGGGACGACGGGCGGGCTGCCTGCTCAGACAACAGGGGACCTCTTAGCAGGGGCCGGCAGCTTCTGCAGGGCTTCTCTAGAGGCGGGAGGGCTTCTGAGAAACACCCTGTCGCCTTAGAAGACCTCCCCCCTCGCCCCATCCCCTTCTGCGCGCCGATTGCTGTCCTCCCGCTTGCGGTGCACCGGCTCCGCGCTGAACACGAGACCTGGGCTTTCGGACAACATCTCGCAGAGGCTCGTGGAGCCGGCCTTCTCCGCGCCCAGCACGAGCAGCTCCGGAGACAGCTTGCCCCCGATGCACAGATTGCCCGGCTGCGCGTCGCAGCCACCGCTGGACGCCTCGCACACGCTCTCCTCCTCTTTCTCCGCCTCTCCCTGAGCGCTGGTCAGCCAGGATGGCAGTAGCAGCAGCAATGATGCCGACAAGAGCGCCGGCATCGACGGATGCAGGAGTAGAGGCCCCCTAGCCCCAGACGGGGTCCGAGTAAGTGGGGTCGGTGGATCGCACCGCATCGCCGATGTATCAGTGACGTCGGCGGTGCATCGGCGACGCCAGCGCTGAGAAATTCAAGCTACACATCGAGCGCATCGGCGATGGCGCTGAGAAATTCAAACTACACACCGAGCGCATCGGCGATGCACCAGCGATGCGGCGCGATCCTCCGACCGCATCCACGCCGACACAATCTGGAAGGCCTGCGCACAGCTTACATCAGCAATCCATTCATCTTGGCGTTCTCTGAAACTAAACGATTCGGGTCAAAGCGGGCCGAAGTTGCTACGGAGGAGATTCGGCATCGGTGTGCGCGGACGTTTAATGGGGACGAGGGTACGTACAGAAAGAAAGGTGATGGGATGCAATGGCAGCAGCGGCTGCATGGAGGAAGAGAGGGGAAGAGGCGTGGATGGAGGAGTGGGTGGAGGACAGGGAGGAGAGAGCAGGCGGAGGAGCAGCAGCAGCAGCAGGAGCATGAACAACGGCATGTGCACTGGCTGCGGCAGCTGCGGCAGGCCCCTGCACTGACGACCTGGGCACTGCTTTGTGTAGAAAACAGCCAGACCAACTCTGGGCTCACGGGCGGTCCCCTGAGCGCCACCAGAGCCACCCGAGCACTGAACGGACCAATCGCCCATGGAACTGCTGTCTCGGGGCCACGTTGGGGCGCCCGCCGCGGGTGCACTGCTCCAGGGCCCGTTGGATGCAAAAGAGCACGGGGATCGGGCAGGAGGGAAGCGGGAGGGAGGAGGGAGGAGGGAGGCGAACGTTGGGAGGAGGAGGAGGAGAAGGAGGAGGAGGAGGGG